ATATTCTTTGACTGGATAGGACAGAATGAAAATATCTACTAGAACAATAAAATAAGTAGGTAGAAAGTAAAAAAAAATCTGGTTGATAGCACCTTTTATCCTTTTGTTGTTGTTCAGTCATTTCAGTCATGCCTGACCTTCCATGACCCCATTTAAGGTTGTCTTGGCAAAGATACTGGAGTGATTTGTCATTTCCTTCTCCAGCTCATTTTACATATGAGGAAACTGAGGAAAACAGGGTTAAGTGACTTGTCTAGGGTCACACAACTAGTATCTAAGGCCAGATTTGAACTCAGGTCCTCCTGACCCCAGGGCTGGCACTCTCTCTATTCATTGTACCCCCTAGCAGCCCTCTTATCCTAGCTGCATCATATTCAAGCAAAACTTTTATTTTATAAAATCTTAATACACTATTTTATATTTTATGATCCCCTTTCTCTCTTGATGGGTTAAATATTTTCCTTTAAAGATAGATCTGAAAGATATCTCCTGTTTTCCAATTTTTTAAAATGATGTGACCTTTTATACTTAGGTTGCATTTTTATTTGGAACTTTTTTGGGGTATATGGTATAGGATGCTGGTCTAAGCCTACGTTTTGTCAATTTGCCTTCTAGGTTTCTTAGCAATTCTTGTCAAACCCAAAATTCTTTCTCTGCTAGTTTGTATTCTTGGGTTTACTGAGCACTGGACTGCTATATTTGATTGTTCTTGGATCTTCCTTATTTAAACCATTCCTCAGACTTAAAAAAAAGAGTCAGTATCAAATACTTTTAAGGATTCCGATTTATAACATGGTTTGAAATATGGTAATACTACCCTTTTCTCATTCTTGCTTTTTCCTCCTATTATTTTCCTTGAGAGTCTTGAGTTTTAGTTTTACCCACTGAATTTTGTTATTATTTGGTTTAATTTTATAAAGTAATCCTACGGCAGTTTGATTGGTTATAGCACTAAATTTATAAATTAAAGTAGTGAAGTCATATTTATTTTATTAAGCATAAACAGCCAATCTTTCTAATTATTTAAGTATTTCTTTATTTCTGTAAAGCATACTTTGTAGCTGTAATTACAAAAGTCTAGAGTGTCTTCATAGGTTAATTTACAAATGCTTTAGGCATTTGATAGTTGCTTTGAATGAACTTTCTCTTCTTTGTTGTTTGTTTATTTACTATTTTACTTTTCCTCAGTTATGTGTAAAAACAATTTTTAACATTTGTTTTTAAAATTTTGAGTTCCAAATTCTTTCCATTTCTCCCTCCCCACCCATCCTCATTGAGAAGGCAAGCAATTTGATATAGGTTATACATGCGTAGTCATGCAGAACATTTCCGTGATAGCCATGTTGTGAAAGAAAACATAGACAAAAAAAACCTCAAGAGAAATAAAGTAAAAAAAGTATGTTTCAATCTATATTCAGACACCATTACTTCTTTCTTTGAGGATGGATAGCATTTTTCATCATAAGTCCTTACTGTCTCAGAGAGGAAAAAATGGAGGGAGGGCTAGAATTTGGAACTCAAAACTTAAAAAAAAAACCCAGTGAGTGTTAAAAATTGTTTTTACATGTAATTGGGGGAAATATTATTAAAAAAAAAAGAAATACCATAGAGGTAGAAGTGATAAGACTTGGGCAATGAATGCACACTGCAGGAGTGGAGGTGGGGATGAGGGAGGGGATGACTCCAGGCTTGTGAAGAACTGGAAGGTATGGCTGGGTCTGGGGGCGAGGGGAGGGGAGTTCCATTTGGTTGTGTTTCATTTGGGACAGCCAGGTGCAGATGTCCCACAGGCTGACTGTGATGTAAGGCAGGTGAGGCCTGGCAAAGTTTGTTCCTCCCTCCCTCTTCCCACCTGGACACTTCTGTACCTCTTACCTCTTTCTTGAAGGTCATGGCCCTCCAAAGTCATCCCTTCTGTTGGTGGCCATTCTAAGGTGACTCTCCCATCATCCCAAGACTTAGGGAGAGTCACCTTAGAATGGCCACCAACAGAGCACGGATTCGAGTGCTCCAAAGAGCACCCGCAGACTCCACCAAAGGGCGCTGGGACATGCAACATCACCTTGAGAAGCCTCACATTCCAACCTGAGGGCCTGGACTTATTCAAATATTATATACACTATATCAATAATTGAATGCGATGTAACAATAACAAATATTGAATACAAAACCTTTGGTGCCTAAAAGAACTCATCATCTAAGGCAGGAGTCAGCAAGCAAAAATCATAGTCATATTTAGACCTTCAGTTACATATACCCATACACATACATTTATACACAGATATATACTTTGAGAGATAGAATAGTGAAAAAAAAAAGAGTGAGACAGAAAGAATAAAAAAGAGAGACAGAAAAGTAGAAGTCTGGAAGACCTGGATCTAAATCCCACCTTAGTAGGATCTGTCATTCATCGGCTGTGTGACCCTGGCCAAGTCACATTACTTTTCTAGGCCTTAGTTTCTTCTATAAAACAAGAGGGCTGGACCTGAAGGACTTCCTTTCTAGGGCAACCACATGGTGCAGTAGATAAAGTTCAGGGCCTGGAGTCAGGAAGACCTGAATACAAATCCAGACTCAGACACTTACCAGCTGTGTGACCCTAGGCAAGTCACTTAACCTTGTTTGCCTCAGTTTCCTCATCTGTGAAATGAACTGGAGAAGGAAATGGCAAAACACTCCATATCTTTGCAAAGAAAAAACCAAACAAACAAACCCAAAAAGGGGTCACAAAGAGTTGGACACAACTGAATTGACTGAACAACAAAATTAACACAATAATATGCTTTGACACAAAGAATATGCTTTGAGAGAATTATTGAAAGAGAGAAAAGGGGAAAGCTATGTGCTGAAATAGGTTTATGACAACTTTGTTACTGAAAAAAAGGAAATATTTCTTTCATGAAGAATTGGAAGGTGTTGGACAAAAATTAGGGGAAGGTTGAATAATTTCTGTTATATTAATCAATGTAGTTAAGATTGAAAAGGATGAAGAGTAGAAAGAAATCTCAAATGATCAAAATGAAGGAATGAAAAATAAAGAATATAAACCCAAAAGAGCAGAGAAGACTCTGACCACAGACATAGGAAAGCCAAAGTATATAGATCAATAACCATGAAAGGGAAAAAATCAAAGGGGACATGGGGGGAGTAACTGTCATTTGTTATAGGATATTTTCATGCTGAAATTGATGAATCCAAATGTAAATCATTGTAAAGTATATCTACTTAGTTTGTTTGTTGTTCAAGATGAACGTCCATAATAAATTATTTACAAAATAAAAGATTAATATATGATGATCATGATGAAATTAAAAAATGAGAAAAAATAATTGTTTCATCATTTAATAAATGCTGTTGGGAAAATCAAATAACCATATGGAGAAAATTAAATTTAGATGCATACGTCATACCATCTACCAAAACAAATTAAAGATGGATTAATAAATCATGTGTGTAAAAACTACAATGAAGATAATTGCAACTTACCCATGAACATCTGTTGTGAGAATGAAAGGTAGAAAAATTATAAAAGGAACTGAAGAAGGGCCCATAAATTAAAACAACTGATTTTATTAGTGCTCAGGAAACTCAAAGCAAAAGAGGGAAAAGGGTAAGATGTGAAGAACATGTTGGAAAATAGCGCCCAAGAAGAAGAAACAATAGAAGCCAAAGGTATGTGGATGTACCCCTCACGGCAGCTAGGTGGCACCATAGGGCATCGAGCACCCCAGGCCTGGAGTCCCAGAGACTAAGGTCACTGAATTCAATTACAGTCTCAGACACTCAATAGTTGTGTGACCTGAGGCAAGTCACTGGACCCTATTTGCCTCAGTTTTCTCATCTGTAAAATGAGCTGAAGAAGGAAATGCTCCAGTATCTTTGCCAAGAAAATCCCAAATAGGGTTGTGAAGAGTCTGACATGACCAAACAGCAAGAAGCCAAAATTAATGGCTTTGGGTGACAAGGACAATGCTAGTTTAAAATATAAGCTTAAGTCTGAAGTCTTAAAGAAAGCAGTTGGGGAACAGCTGACTAAAGTATGGTCTACAACAGTAGTACTCTGTGAAAAAGCTGATTTCAGAGAAACCAGAGAAATTTATAAAAACTTACTGATGCAGAGTGACATGAAAAGACCAGGAGAACAAATGATTGAGTAATAACGACATTAGGCCTGGTACATAGGCCATGCATGGTGGCCCAAGCCTGTCATCTCACCTACCAGGGAGGCTGAGGCTAGTGCATTGCTTGAGCTCAGAAGTTAGGAGCTGCAGCTGGATAAGGCCAGGTCAGGTGTCCAGACTGAGTCTGGCACCAATAGAAGCCCTGGCCTCTTCCCCCAGGAGGCTGCCTAAAGACAGGCCAACTGGCCCAGAACAGAAAGAGAGCACTTCAGAGTTCCCATGCCAATCAACAGTGGGATCCAGCCTGTGAGCAGCTGTTGTATTTCCAGCCAGGTGAGATAGGGAGATCTACTCCCAAAACAGTTTGGGAGGGGAAGGTCTCAGGGTTTCTGTCCAGAGCAGGAGCAATTGCTATGTACACTCCCTTTGAGCCATCAAATCCTAAACAGTGACCCAGAGAGGCTTGGGTTGGGGCTTATTATTGGCCAATCAGTGAGAGCCAGAGTGATTTGGATTTAAGTCATAGTGAAGTAACTTCATTTGAATCTGAATGGGCTTTATCAAAGTCTGGTTTTTCCAGGGCTCAATCTCAAGCAAATTTACATTCCTTTGGTCAGAGACTCCAAATGCAAATGTATAATTCTCCATGGGGAGGAAGAGATGGAGAAAGGGAGGAAGGAAAGAAGGAAGAAATGGAGGAGGGAAGGAAGGAAGGAGCATTGCCCAACTGGAACTGGACAATCGGTCACCAGTGGGGCAGCTACTCCTCCTCACAGATGCTTGTTCATCCTTCATTCTTGAAGAGATCAATGACATCAGGAAGGTGATGTTTTGACTTGCAAGTGAATTGGATTGAGGTGGGGCAGGGCTGTGCAAAGGCACCAGGCTCACTCTCTGGAGATGGCCTCTGAGACCTGAGAATGAGAAAAGAAAAACAGACCTAGGAAAGACCTCTCTCCCACAGTACCAATGGCCATCACCTTGTCTTCACATATAAGGGAAGAGTAAAGAATGAGACCAGCTTCTGGAAGCAGCCCCTATGGCAAGGTTTATGGTCCTTGGGTAAAACATAGCAGGCAGAAGATTCTTTCTCTTCCTCCTTTTTCTCTCTCTTCTTAATCTTTTTACCTCAACCAGAGCCCCTGGGACAAATAGGTCCCAGAACAGAGCTAAATTAGGCCCAGTTCTCCCCTGAGGGCAGTGGTTGCCCCAATCCTGTGACTCTGGGGAAGCAGCTGTCCCACCGTACTGAAGGACTGAGCAGCCTGGAGAGGTTTTTGTTTAGGACTGAAACACTGTGGTAATGGAGCACTATAATACTGAAAACAGTAATAATCTGCCACATCCTCAGCCTCCACTGCACTGATGGTGAAGGTAAAATCTGTCCCAGAGGACCTGCCACTGAAACAGGCTGGGACCCCAGTCTGCAGTTTGGAAGTATAATAGATCAGGAGCTTGGCAGCCTGTCCTGGTTTCTGCTGGTACCAGTTCATCCACTTGTTAACGCTGGAACTGGCCTTGCAGCTGATGGTGACTCTGTCTCCTGGAGCCACAGACAAGGAGGCTGGGGACTGGGTCATCACTGTGGCTGCCTGGGATTCTAAAGGAGAACAAGAAAGAAATTTCAGTGAATGAAGAATCCTATGCAGAGACAGTGAATGCAGGACTGAGTCAGAGATGCCCACTGAAAAACTCCTTGTGTCTCTGAAGTGGTGCCAACCTATGGCTCATTGGAAGTCTTACCTTGAGGCCAGAGCAGTAGGATCCAGAGGAGCAAGGACTGGGAGAGCATTGTGAGCCTTGCAGAGCTGGAGGCAGAGAGCTCTGAGCTCACAGGGAGACTGATGGGAGATATTTGTATCCCGGGCTGGGTTTGAGAAGGTGCCTTAGATATTACCACGCAAAACAGTGCTGGTCCAGCCTGAACTGAAGGACCCCAGGAGTGGTTATATGCATGTGCAGGGAGTGGCCCAATTGTATTTCCTTGAAGGTGTGACCTCATGTGGCCTCTGTATTTATTGATTTATTAAATGTACCTGCTCTAGGCTGCACATGGTGGTGGCTGTGGCAGGTGGTCAATGGTGATTATAAACTGGGGTTGTGTGGGGTGGCCTCTCTACCTTCCCAGGAGAGATCAGATGGCTCTGAGTCTAGAGACCAAGAGTTGACAAGTGTCTATGCAAAGAACAGAATGAAGAAAGAGAGGAAGGAGCTGAGTTAGAAAGAAAATAGACTGAGAAACCAACAATATTTAAGGACCAGTAGCTAAGGACGCAGGCTTAGATGAAATGGAGATGGAGGGGACTTTGGAGATTCTATGGTCTACTAGATGATATAGGGAGAATGTGTCCCTTCAGTTATTGAGGAGAGAAGTTTATTATTCTCTTCTGTGTTTCTGTTATATCTTTCTGAAAGCTAAAAAGAAAAAAAAAGATTGCTGGTCTCAACCTTTTTTTTGTAGTAGTCTTGATAACTGCTGCTCTTTAATAGTTGTAGATCTGGTACACCTAGGCCACCTTCCCTTGCATTTCTTTTAATTACTTCCCTAGACATTGTGTATCTTTTGTTCTTCCAGAACTAAATTGTTATTTTTTCTAGTTCTATAAAAAAGTTTTTGGTAGTTTGATTGGTATGGCACTCAATAAGTAAATTAATTTGGGTAGAATTGTCATTTTGATTATATTAGCCAGGCATACCCATGAGCAACTGATATCTTTCCAATTATTTAGATCTGATTTTTCATTCATTCTTAAAGGGGACCAAGGACATCAGGAAGGTGAAGTCTTGACTTGCAAGGGAGTTGGATTTAAGTGAGGTAGGGCTGTGCAGTCACCAGCCTCACTCCCTCCACCAGAGCCATCTGGGTCCAGTGGGGATATATAGATCAGGAGGAGTACAAATGGTTCCTGAAACCTCAGAAAGAGAAATGAAAAACTGAGTCCTGGGAAAGACCTCTCTCCCACTGCATCTGGGGCCATCTTGCCTATCACCTTGACCTATGTCTTACCACTAGCCTCTAATGGATCAGGAGGAGAGAGTGGGGCTGATGTCTTTGCACAGTCCTGCCTCACTTAAATCCAATTCACTTGCAAGTCAAGACATCTCCCTCCTGATGTCACTGATGCTCTTCCAGAAAGAAGGATGAACAACAAACAGCCATAACAAGCCCCACTCTGGATTCTTTCCCTGTAAACAAAACCAGCTAGATCCAGGTTGGCCCCTGATGTTCTTACCCCATCTGTTAGGATTCATGGCATGAAGGACAGAACAACCAGAATGAAGTCGTTTTCCTTGCTCAGATTGCCCAAGGTGGCTGGAATCTCATGACCAGGCCTTTCTAGCTCCTCCCCTTCCTTCCTAAAGGTAAAAAAAGTTTTCATAGATCTCTAGATTGGGAAATCCATTTTGCTCTGTTTTCATGGGATGTCCCCCAAGGTGGCTACCCTAAGGTCTACATTAAAGATGCTTTATTTCTCTACTTGTGGCTTTGGTTGATTTCAGGACTTGACACTCCTTTGTTAAGTATGACTTGTCAATCAATCACTTACTCAACAAGCAATTTATTAAATGATTCCTCTGTGGTAGACATTATGGATACATTGCATCTAGGTATTCAACTTATTCTTATCTAAGCATCTGTAAAATAAATATGAGGTAATTTTCAGAGGGAAGGTGATTCCACCTTCTCAAGTAGAAGCCTAGATTTGAAAGAATCTGAGGATTCTAAATGGTAGAGGGGATAGCCTGCATGGGGGCTATCCAGTATAAAGTCATGGAGATGGGAGATGGGAATGTTGGGTGTGTGGAAGAACAAAGTCAGGAATTGTCACCTGTCCCTTGGGGTGTTATTGCCTTCTGACTCCTTGAAGGCTATGGGATGCCTTAGAGTTTTCTGAGCTTAGATTTGGTGTGTAGGATGTGAGACCTGCTCGAGCCCTTCATTACCCAATGAAGGCCAAACATGTGGACTGGCCAATCAGAGAAGATGATTTAAGGCCTTCTGGACTGAGATGCCAACTATTCTCTGAGATAGTCTCTGAGTGAACCTGAAATTTTCCAGCTGTGTCAGCAACCAGAAGATCAGATTAAGCTTGCACAGACATGCTGAGTCAGGGGCACTTCCTTGCTTTATGAATCCATAATCCCCCATCCTAACCTTTTTGCAAGCAGTTCCAGCTATAGCTCTGCTTGCATGTCGCAGCTTGAGAGAAATAAACATCCATATAACCTAATTCTGCTTTTTTTTCTTAGACTGAAGTCTGGGGTTGACATTTTTGGTGCTGTGACTCAGACAGGATGGGCAACTGCAGGCCAGACCCTAACACCAATAGCTCTGCAGCTTGGCACCAGGAGCTATTCTCCTGAAGTTCTAGCCTTGACAGGTGGGTGAGTCCTTTCTCCAATCCCCACTCCCATCTCAGACTTCCACGCATTTGGTAGAAGTCCACATTCCTCTCCAAGCCAGCTCTGGGGGCAGAGTCCACACTACATTGGACAGGTGTCCTCTGAGGATAAGAATATCTTCTGTAATTTGGCCTCTCTGCATGCCTCTGGTCTGTGCATGCCTTTGGTTTCTGCACTCCCTAGGTCAACCAGGTAAAATTAGATTTGTGCACTTTGTTGTTGGTATCTCTCTTGTCATTTTGTCTGTGTCTGTGTCTGTGTCTGTGTTTGTAAAATATCTGTGTTATGTTTGCGCTATGAACTAGAATCTCTTACCTTAAAAGATTTAAAATGTAGCCAGCCAGAAAACCTTGTAAGGGCTGTAAGTAGAGAAAACACTGGGAAAGATTAATGAAGTTTTTTGTTATTTTGAGGTCATAGCGGAAGTAGCTGTCTCAGTAAGTAGGACTAACTCCCACCTTAGGCTTTCCATGGGAGATTAGATTATAAGAAAGGAGGAAAAGTCTGTAAGACATTTCCTAACATTGGCCAAGCTGTTACTATGGAAATTAAGTTAGATAATCAAAATTGTAGAACCACTGAAAACATCTTAGCAGATTCTGGAGGTTTGGAGATGAATCATAAAGGGGTTTGGAAATTAATTTTTTTAAGATTGCTGGAGAGAACTCCTGAGACTTTGGAAAATTAAGTCAATCTCTCTGCCTTCCCTACTGTCTTTCCCTGGAGTAATGAGTGTATCTCAGTTATGGGGCTTGCTAACAGCCTATGTCTCTCTATTAACCCCTCTCATGTCATATCAGATTAAGAAAAGAGAAGGCTGGAGAATTGTAGGGAAACTTGAATCACCCTTTTCCACCTGAGAGATGGGCGTGGCTGCAGCCACAGTGGAGCCCCACTGGCAGTGGCCCCAATGGCCCTGTGCCCCTGGGCAACTTGTAACCCACCCCTCTAGGAAAACCTGTGTGTATCACTGAGGTACAACACATGCTGACCGCCCTACCCCAGGAGCTACAAGTGTCCCTAGCCCCAGTAGAGCCTGCAGCTTGGGGGCAGCAGATCAGGCCCCACAGCCAGCATTCATTCACCTTGCCCTGCCACCAGGAACCACCACCAATGGAAAAATCTTGGCACTAGCTACCCCAGCCCCTAGGTAGTACACTCTGCCATATCCCCCAAAGCCCAGTCAGTCAATATCCAGGGCAAGCCTAGCCCTAGGCAGTTTCTGCCCAACTGCTGCCTGGGAAGATCCATGTGCTCCTGGTAGAACTGAACATGGCAGTACAAGGTGGGGAAAGCCAGCCAGCCTCTCCCCTTGGTGAGCCCACCCTTTTCTTTTCTGGTTGGAGAAACTTCTTAGCTACATAACTTGAGCAAGTTATCTTATCTCTGTTTGCCCCAATTTTCTGACCTGCAAAAAGAAAAATAATAATGGCACCCACCTTCCAGGGTTGTTGTTGTGAGATAAAGCGCTTAGAATGGTGAGTGACATGTGCTGAATACTATATTATTATTGTTTCTTTAATTGAATGTAATTGTTCCTGATACCTGTTAACTCTAAAGCGGTTTTAAAATGCCAAAGGTAATGAGACCCATGATTTTTTTAATGTATGTGACAATTTGAAAATGCAACTGATATCATCTAAAGTTTATTGTTAGTGTTATTATAGCATTCCTAAATTGTATCATATTCTGAAATTTATATTGTGAAATTTAAGAGACCATTGCAAACCATAAATATTGTTAGACAAAAACTTCCCTTTTAATTTGGGTGGTATTAGATTATGAATTGGGCTTTAAAAGATGTGATAAAAATAGATATTTGAAAATTGTTAAATATTTAATGAGGCATATTTTGTTACCAAGCAGATAGTAATAATATATAATAGCAAAATTACATTTGAAATTCTTGTTCATTATGGACATGTATAGCACAGAGTAAAGATGTAGCTTCAACATATTAATGATGAGACAACAATCAGGTATTTCTTGTATGTCTGAAGCCCAGAATGTAAGTAGTTTTAATATAAAAGTAAAGGATAAATGAAACACTAACTGTTAGGGAAAAATCAAGATGGACATTCAAGCCCTAAGTTGTTGTTAGTGAAATGTTAGTATTTAAGGTAAAAATTCTTGGGAGTGTAATTTACTATTGTTTTAAGTTTTGATTACAGGGATAGCTGTCTGAACTGTCATGAAGCTAGTGGTAGATACTGGCATATGCTGCAGTCTTGGAACTGCTAAAGGTGAAAACCTGTACCAGGGAAAAGTTTTGGGGATGATAGTGGCATGGCCTAGATAAGATCCTCCTGACTCTTTATCCTCATTGTTCTATTTCCTTTCTGAAAAGGAAAATTCCCAACTGGTTAATCCTGAGCGTTGTTTTTAACACCTTGTGACTACATGATTAGCTGTGAGATATGACTCATGCCTGGAATCAAACATAGCTAAGGGAGTTATCCCTTTCTGTTATGATATAGTATATTTTACCACCAGCTTCTTCTTTTTCCTTTTATATGAAATTTCTATAATCAAGAAGTTTGGTAAATACAATACTAAATCTATTAAAGAATAGAATGATACTAGAGCACCTCTGAGTTACTATAATAGATTGCAAGTATGAATATCTTATAATTTTAACATATATTTGTGGTCAAATAATAATATAGGGACAATATCCTCCTAACGGGGAAATCATTAGACAAAGTAATAAGACAAAAATGTAATGTGATCATTTTCTAATGAAAGAGAATAGTAAATTTTGAGAAAAGCAATAGGATTAGAATGTTTTCTCTAAGAGCTCTACAGAGATGTCTAAGATTACTCTTACTACAATTAGCATTACTAAGATTAACTCTATATAGATGTGTACAACTCATCTGTCATGGAAATTCAAACTTTGAGCATGTTTTGGTGATAAGTCATCAGAATTGGATTTTACGCATAAATAGTATAGATAATGGCAAAGAAAGAGAAATAATTTTTCCA